ATCACCTAACAACACAACAGGCCATATGAATTAAAAAATGTCTGTAAAAAATTATTGTAACCAGTAAAATAACCATGTAACATAAAATGTTTAGATTTTTTTGAAAAATGAGAAATTGTACATAAAACGCAATATTATAATAAATACTAAAAATTGTCAACTAATTATTTTAATTCATGATATGATAAATAAACACTTGTGTAAGCTACGACTAATGAATTACAATTTTACTATAAATTTATTACTATCTATAATAAAACAAAATGTTAATAAGTTGTACACAAATAATTACACTTCAAAATAGAGAGTGTTATACTATAACTTATTTAATAAATTTACTTTTTTTATTAGAGGTTTTTAAAAATAATCAAGTATTCTGAAAAATATTGTACGGTATTAATCAAAACAATTTCATGCAAATAATAGTGAATACGTACATTTTTGGAGCAAAATTATGGTAATTATTCTTTAGCAACAAAGCCTAAATCTATACAATAATTCTGTATATCGCTTGGAATATTCCAATTTATATTACTCGAGAAAGGATCGAACTCACAACTATAATTGTTATCCCAGTATCTATAACGTTTACATTTTTTTCTAAAATTTTCTTTAAAATTTACATAATTTTCATCAAATATATTAAATTCCAAAAGTTCATTTATCATAATTTCAGCAATTTCAATGATATCAATTTTTCCAATATTTTCTTTTTTTGATTGCCACTCTATTAATTTTTGTAGAGTTGTAAGAACAGGGGTTGTNATTTTTTGATGGCCACTCTATTAATTTTTGTAGAGTTGTAAGAACAGGGGTTGTGTAATTGAAAAAACTTAGTGCATTACTCATACAAGTTAGCAATGGGATGGCATTATTAACAGATTCATTAAAATAGTTTAATTGTTGAATAATTGTATCATCAAAATTAAAATCATTCATATATTCATATTCTAATCTCTCAGATTTCATATTTTTATTTGTTTTACTTTCTGCATTCTTCGATTTATCTCTTTCTGTGACATAAAAACTAATAACCCATTGAAGTTTACGAAATGTTTCAACAACGTTGTAGTAAATTGAACTTAGTATTATTGAACCATATCTCATTTTTTTATTTAAATTTTTACTGGTTACCTTCTTTGAATCGGGTCCAAAAAGCCTGCGTTGATTAATTATTTTCTTTTTCTTTTTATTATCATGCTTCTTATTATCATGATTTTTATATTTATAATATTCATAGCCTTTTGTCANTATTATCATGATTTTTATATTTATAATATTCATAGCCTTTTGTCAACTCAATCCAATTTTTTTGACTAAAAATTTCATTCAGCTCCTTAATCTTTTTTGTATCTACGTTACCAAAGAGTGTACATGATTGGACGTAATGTGAAGTAATTAAAATTACAAGTATCTTCAAAATATTCATTATTATATATATAAATATATTATACTAAAATTTAAATACTCTAATAAAATTTAAATGTATATACAAAGTAGTTTTATAGTATTTTATGTACCTTATCACATACGTGTTTTATTTGTGTAAAATAATTTTATTTTTAAATGATTATGATAATATTTTATAAAATACATATTTTTACGTCGTGGTTTTTGCAATTGCTCATATCTTAAAAGGTGAACAAATATTTGCTTATGGTATTGTAAGTTATTTATTATTTACTTTTTATTTGAGCTAATAAATTGTACATTTTTTCTATTTTTGAGGAACACATACTTAAAAATGATAATAAATAATGCTGAGTTAAAAATGTATTAAAATGTTTTGCAAAATTTAATCTTATGACTTAAGTATTAGAAGGGGTAACTTACATAATACAAATGTTATTCATATTTCATTATGGAGATATTATGGAGATGATGAAACTTGAAACTTGTTTGAAAAGTCTAATAATATTTTAACATACAAAATAGAATGTATAATAAATAAATAGATAAATGAAAATTTAGGTATAAAAAAATATTCTGGATCATAAGTATAAGTGTGCCACGATGTTATGTTAATTTGTTACGAGAAAAGTAAGTGTCAAAACATCGTGGGACACACTGTATATTGCTACACAAGGTCAATGGCGAATCTAGGGGAAGTAAGGGTGAATTAGAATTCCATGACATCATAATTATTTGACCTTGATAAACTTTATAAATGTCTACTTAATATTTCATTATTGTTATTTTATAATGTGTTTAAAATATATTTGAGATAACTTCAATAACTTAAAATTGAAAAAAAAAACACATCATAATAATAAATGAGTATTTTCTGAAAAATGTTATCAAATAACGTGTTACAAGGTAAACCTGATTTCGAGTATACGAAAAAATTGATGGGTTTTACAAATAAAATTATTTGATAAAAGCATAATTTTGGACCAAGGTCGGGACTAGTCGTTTTATTGATATAACGAAGACAAACTTAACACTTTAAAAAAGAACTAAAAATGCGCAATTACAAAGAATATTTTTGTATAAATGTCTTAATAAAATGTTACTTAAAAAAATAAATTAAAAGTCATATATGATATCAAATATGCCTTAAAAAGTAAGAAAATCTAACTGTTTTTCAATTTTAAAATAAATTTTATGAAGTAATTGGGGGCATAGCAACGGTAAATTCGCAATCACTATATTTAGCAGAACTTTTTCTGATCGTGATAAATATTTTTTAGTTTTATAGTAGATTACTATATTATATTTATGTATCAATTTAAAAATTGATACATAAATTATACACAAAAAATTTCACTGTAAATTAGATAGTATTATACTATAACTTCTATAATAAATACACTTTTTTCATATAAGACTTTATTTTTTAAATCTATTATTCTAAAAAATAAATTAAACAAAACAATTTAAAAAAAAATGGTAGTATTTATTCTTTAACATGACCATCGAAGCCTAAATGTATAAATGTATATATGTAGTNATTCTTTAACATGACCATCGAAGCCTAAATGTATAAATGTATATATGTAGTGTATATATAATGTATAATGTAGTTATTAATTATTTACTTTTTATTTAAATTAATAAAATGTTTTGGAAAATTAATTCTTATGACTTAAATATTAGAAGGGTTAATTTACATAATATAAATGTTATTCATATTTCATAGTGGAGATATTGATGATCATGACTAAGAAAAACTAGA